GTTTATTCATGGCACTCAAAATTTTATCTAGTTGTAAATTAAGTGAAAGTAATTTGATGCATCTTCAGCAGATTCTGAGATACTTGTGTAGAGATATTGCCCATACCATGTAACAAATAAAATGGTTTAAAATATAACTCAGTATCTTCACTCAAACTTCCATGTACAATTAATTGTACTATAAAATATGCATCAGTCAATTGGAACCACTGCATCGAAACCCAAGAGAATAGTGGTGCCTTTTACTAGAGGATTTACAAAACCCTGGTAAAGGATCTGTCTTCTGGGGACAGTCATAAAGCAAAAGCCATGTTACATGTCATGCATTGTGAGTGAGTACTCACAGCTGGGGGTGATGTGGCTACAAATGACTGGACAGGTGTTTTAGTTTAAGATTGCAAATAATTGTAAACAATAAATAATTCACTCTTTAAGCCAATGAAATGCTACTCCAGTTGAAATCAGAGACAATCCTACCAAGATCTCAGAGCAAAGAACGTGAACAAGAAAATCACAAGACAAAACTGGGCAAAGTAAACAAAACATCACTATCAGCAAATTCAAGTCTGTTACATCTCCTTATTTGTAGAAAAAAAACGTTGAATGATAACTAAATATAAATACAAGTCATTCTACTAATAAACATTGAATACCCTCTTTTTAATGTAAAATTGTATTTAAAACAAAATTTGAAAAGATAATAATCATCTTTGTCACAAACGTGCGATGCAAATCTGATTTATTTTTCACCATATCACCCTGCCACAAGTCTGTAACACCACAAATTAGCAAACATATGCATCATTTTATATTTCTGTCTTTACAATAAATTATATTAAATGATATATAAATCTATAAATTTTGGGGACACATGCACTTTACCAGTACTAAAAACAGACCAGAAGTTCCTTTAACTAGCATGATGCTTAATATTAGCAAAGGCTTATCCAGTGTAAAGTTTTAGGGCTATTCTTTTTTGTTTTATTTATTTTTATTCCATCGCTTGACTGCTTCATATCGGGGACCTACAGCCTCCAAACCCCCCTTTCCCCCAATTTGATTAAATAAAAATGACCACCATATTTCGATTTTAGAGTACAAGTAGACATGCCAAATAAACGCATACCCAGGAACCAAAAAAAATGTTCTTCAGGACGAGTATGTAGCTTCAAATTCTACTCCTTCTACTAACCCTGGATTTTTTGCATGATTTGTGGATTTGTTTGCATGATTTTCAAGATAGACTTCACTGATGCAATAGGCCCCTAGAATTCTCTGAGACTCATACTCAATTTGTTTTAATTTAACAATGGAAATGCAGAAACAAAGCCTGTGATTAGTAATAACTAGAGTGGTGTGCTTACATGTCAGTAAAACCGTATCCAAATAACAATGCAATCAGAGCTTTATTGGTAAATTTTTGCTTGTTCTGACGGTTGAGTATACTACAATTTTGTACTCATCCTTCCCGGGTCTTTACTCATTAATGCGAGCAGACAAGTGGAATTTTCGATACCTGATACCAGGAAAGTGCAATTTCTTCCTATTAAAGTTTTGTAACAAACAAAAACTAAAATAACAACACTGGTATTGTATCTCACTCCAATTTCTAAATATGCATATTTACAACTACAAATGTCAAGACACAGATATCAGTAGCAAAGATGTAAAGAGTAAAATAATAAATTATTAAAAAGGATTTTAAAAAGTTAATAATAATATTGAATTCTCCAAAACTAAACTGTTAAAACTTTTCAATCAACACATGTCTAAAACTTCAATCTTTCTACAATAATAATATGAATTTAGGCAAAGCCTATAAACGGGGAAGTCGTTAAAAAATCCTTTCATTCTTTCCGTTTTAAAGGTGTCATTCGGTATTACATGCACCGCTTCTGTTTTCACTCGGAACACTCGACGATTATTATTAATCCGAAAAGTTGAGATTTGTTACATTATCGGAATACGCCGCCTTTTATCATTGAGTTACATTGTAAATGGCGACGCCTATCTAGAACTGACACTGAAAATTTCATTGATAGGTATAGCACTCTATAATTTTTTAATTGTTTTTTATTTGAATTTTCTTTTAAATATACACGTCTAGTCTACAGTACAGATATCGAGGAATATGCAAAATCCTCCGAGGATCGAGGAAAACACTCGCAACTCCGCGAGAGTATTTGTCCATAAAAACGAGTGACTCCGCGTGAAAAACGTGTGATGAGAGTGACTCCGAGACGAAAATAAAAGCGCATGACTCCGAGAGAGAATTACCGCGTAACTCCGTGTCGGTGTCTAGCTGGTGTAAATAAATGCAAGTGCAATCTCATTTTATATTTAATTAATTCTTTAGATTACCATTCGAAAATAAAGATGAGTTTTACAGTTGTTGTTTTCAATTTACCAGGTACATTTGATTAGAAAAAATCACTACCGTAAGCGTCATCAGTTCTCAAGTTTATTTTTATCGCGATTAATTAGGTCAGTAGCAATAACCACAGGAACCCGAAATTCTATCAAAAACAAAAAACGATTTAAAAAATCCATATAATAACGGCCCAACTTTTTTTATACTTCTTTAAGAAATGAATTAATTATATAAACTTCTTAATCTTAAATGTTTCTAAATGCATCAAATACCGATAACGTGCCGTTCTAATTTATTTCAGGTGCCAAATATTGTGTTGTGTTTTTTTTTTCAATGTGGAAAATGAGTTTCGATCTTCATAATATTTTAATCATTGATAACATGTGCACATAAAAAAAAATGACTTCCCCAACTTTTATATTGGTTTGTATAGTTTTAAAATTGTCATGATGTGCATGTACCTTTCTTCATAATCCATTGTTTAAATGTATTTTAGTTACGTGTCAACCTGTCACATCCGCCGTTTTAATTAGAAGACACTTGATTTATATATAATTTTTGAGAATTAACATTAACTTAATCGTTTCTAAATAAAGCTGCATAAAAATTAGTAATATATTGTTGTAATTTTATTCCAAGAATATCTCCGAAAATCTGTCGGTCTCATTCTGTTATCAAAGTCATATGTAGATGTATGTTGATATTGGAATCAAAAGTAAATTGTCTTGTGATGATCATTAATAAATTAAGATTTTTGTTTTTTATTTCAGGCATTATGGAGGAATTCAAGAGTTATAGAGGTGTTAACAATTAAGTTGACAGAGGCCGTTCAACTTACCTAGTGCACTGCTCCCGTAATTCATTCACCTGTAATTAGCATTACAAAGATTGACAAAAAATAAAAACAGCAAAGAATAAAATGATCATTTTATTTGCTTGTTTTCTTTTTCTTTTTGTTTTATTTGTTTATGGTTTGTACATCATCTATATCATGCCATTTTATATAAATAAAAAACAGTTTTGACAAAGATTAAACTACTTCCGATTTCACGTACATGTACTGTTCATAGACGATAAAACAATATTTTTATTATAGCATATGAACATATTTGACCGTCACGGCAAGCGGGCATGCATTGCACATGTACGTATGTGGATTTAAAAAGACCGCCATGCCTTTAAAAAATCACTGCCAATCTCAATGTTCTTGTTTTATAATTCATGGTTTTATTTTTGAGACGACGCAGCGCCTGTTGTTTTCCCCCTGCAAACATCGGTAGAATTTCATAAATGAATTCCTTAATGTTGTCCTTTCTTGTGCTGCCAACATCGGTAGAATTGCCTAGCAGATCGAACTTCTTAACTCTGTTCTATATTGTTCTGAAAGCAATAGTAAAATAAATTTAAACATAAATGTTAAAAGCAGGACTGTACATGCCGACATAGGGTGTCGCTGTTTTGGCTAGTGCATTGTATGGAATGATGTATTATATCTCGTATTTCACGGATTTTTTATCAACCAACAATTAAAAGGAGACGTACATGTACTTCACGTGGAAATCAGTTTGGTATCATTTATGTAACTGGTACAAATTTATCTAAAAGCCTGACTTAAAAGTATAAAATTACCTTTTTCAGAAGTTTACTTTCCAAGGCAGATGCATTTCACTGAAGAATACTTTGTAAACTGTCTTAAAGAAAATGTTTTTTTTTATTATTCAGTTCTGGTACAAAGTATAATAACCCTTACGATAGTATGTCAATGGAATGAATCGAACTTAGCACGTGGTTGTTTTGCCATGTATTTCCTTTTTTTTTTTCTTCTTTTTTTGCTTACATAATAATTATAAATTTGTATAAACAATGCAAAAAAGAAGCTCATCTATATTTTCTTAGTTTAGAATACTAAATTAAATAGGTTTTTGACACTGGGCGTTACGGGAATTGCGGGAAATCATCGGTTATTCTTTCCTTTAATTAATTAATGAATCAAGTGTGTCTACTTTCGTTTTCACTTGTGATACTTTACATCAACGAAGAATTTTCGACAACATTGTTATTTTAAATGAATAATACATGCGTTGAAGGATTTTATTTTAGAGGTAGAGCATTATATTAATTGATAAATAAATAAAGCATACGTGTACCAAATCAGTCTTATTTTCTCGGAGTCACTCTTTTTGACTTGGAGATTCACGGAGTCCCGCAGACAAAATTGTCACTCGTTTTTGTCTCGGAGTCACTCTTTTTCACCCGAGAAATTTATAATCCACTCGGAGTCACGCTTTTTGAGATTACTCGATACTCGCAGAAATTTGCATATTCCTTGATATCTGTACTGTATAGCCGGGCAAGCCAAAGCTCGGGCCCGCGGACTTTGACTCCCCGTATAAGCCGTCAAGTAGTATATTTCCACTTTCCTTAAAACTATAACTAGATCTACTGAACTACTGTATGATTTACTGATCGCTTTCATTCATACCAAGTAAGTTGACCAACTCATTTATAAATACTTATCCGAATGTATGCACACTTTCGTGAATAAATTATCGGAGTTACGGGGTAATACATGGACACACAAATGAAATCATTAAATAAATAACAGTTAAAATTAAATCCTGTTTTATACCTGTATTTTTCTGTTCACAAAATTGCAACAAACACTTGATTCTTTGTTTTCAGAACGAATGATGCTGCTGTAACTGGAACTAGATAATTCAATTACCTCCCTTCAGTATTCACCAAGGGAAGTAACTGCATCTACACAAGTAGAAATTAATCCAAACTGAGTTATCCCACTTACCACAAAATGCCTGATTGTTCAGTTGTCGTCAATCTATCACTCCCTTTTTAATCAACAATAAATTCATGTTTATTATATAATTAAGTAATTAAATTTATTTCAACTTTCGTTAACGGTAATATTTTAATGTCTTTTTCAAGAACGTTGACGTTGAAAATTTGGACGTCATGAGTGCAATACCTGACCTCTTCTACTTGCAGAGTAAACAATTGACTATTCAAAACTTCAGCGTTTGTTGCTGAATTATTGTATATCATGTTTTAAAAAAACTAAAACACCTAAGCTTTTATCAAATCAAATTTAATCAAGGCCATGTACATATCTGTCCGGACACATGGTAGTGCTATACATAGTGTGGACAATTTAGGTAATTTTGATACCCTCCTTAACGGGCCTCAGATATGAGTGTCAATATAATAAAAAATAAACAAAATATTTTGATTGTTAGGAGAAGAACCTAGCTGTGCTGTGTCATTTTTTTAGATCTCTGACTTTATGATATCTGTATACTTAACAGTGTGAAAAAATCTTCAACAAATGTTTTTTTATTTTTATTTGACACCGGCATTCAATTAATATCACACTTAACCTGCGTATTTTTTGTCCCAGATGCAACTGATAAGCATGGTAATACATTAATATGTCCCGGACTATAATAACCCACCCTGGCCCGGCCCCGGATAACCACATCGGCAGCGTCTTTTCATGCTGCCTAGCTGTTCTATTTGGTAGCAGTCTACAGAAACCTCCCTTCATATTTTTTGCAGTAGGACCATGTGTATGACCTGGCCCATTCACCCTTGCGATCTGCCGTATGCATTCTACGCCATATGCATACTTCGAGAGGGATTGAAGATCGGTTAATTGCATAGGCCGTGAAGAAAATGTGCAATTTTCAACTGTATACATTTTACAATCGTCTGAGTTTTTTGGACATATATAGCAGTACCACGTTGCATTTGATAAAATTCAAGTAAATAAAAGCCTCTTCCGATAGAACTGTACAGTATGTTTTGTCTTGGACAAAAATACTTATATTATGTCTATTACATAATATATTACAGTATATACATGTAATAGCGCGCGTTGTCTCAGGTGCTCCTTAATAACCCAATGCAATAATTGCGCGCGAAATCATTGCTCGGAGATTCGTGCAAATTTGTGCATTTTCTGTGAACTTTGCCTCTGACAGAAACCTTGGCTCAAAATAAACACAGGTGACAATTTTCATGGTTTTCAATCTCCGGAACAACAACAAAAAACAAAAACAAACACAAAAAAACAACGTAAAATAAAAGTTACTAAAATTGTTCCGATTTTGAGATTTTTAAGCTTATTCTTCTTAAGTTTCTATAGTTATGTGACAAAAGGTTTGACTTAATTAATATAGACTGCTATATCTGTGATATAAACTTGAAAAATGAAGTTCTATGTACACCCTGGGACTAGGTACTCCCGAGATGTTCACATGAGTTTCTATTTGTGACCGTACATGTATAGCAAATTAGCCTGAAATTATTGTTTGCTGAATCACAAATGGAAGGAGCGTATTAAACTTATGTTTTAGTAACTACAGTACGTCACTGTCTCGTATCTTCGGGTGTTATTAAAACAAGTATATCTGTACGATCAATGACTTATAAATACGTCTTTTTTGCGTATCTGCTACAAACAGAAACTATCAGCTATATATCCAAGATATACGAAGATACCCGAACTTGCACGATTACACAGGCCTTCGCTATGTAGGTCGATCATGTGACTGAGCAGTGCTCGGTTATTTGAAGACCACTGCGTTAATAGAATATTTGATTGTAAACCAATCAGTGACTTTCTGTGTGACATTGTCCACGGGCGATATGTAAGAGTACGCATGACTAGGTATCACGTGAAATCCGTGTAACTTACAGTTAACTTCATACAGCCTGATGACTTTAGAAGGGAAAGACTCATTTACTGCACGATTTGAACGTTGAGGTTTGCAAAATTTTCTCTCTTTTTTAGTTTACATACAGCATACCTGGATGTTGAATTATTTTTTTAAGTTTTATGATTATAAAGAATAAGTTAGTTTCTGATGTTTGAAGGTAAAAATTTTATTGATTATTTTGTTACTTATAAACAGATAAACAGGCTGGTGAAAATGCCATATCTGGCTTATGGCATAAAAAAATCAAGTTTCTAGAAAAATAATGAATAAACTTTGTTTGTTTATCGAGCATAATGTATAACATAATCTCAAAAGGTTCACTATATGTTTCTTAGCATCACCTAAATCATAATTATGTGACATGGACCAGAGGAGTGAATGCAGTGCATAATAATGATAACTTTACTGTGAGTACCCTTCAAAGTTTTTTTTTAGTTTTTCCTCTTTTATTTAAAACTCAAACTTTTTAAGCATTTAAGATATCAACTTAAAATTCAGGAAGAGTGCATTGCACAAGAGTAATAACTCTACTTTTTATATTTTTTGTGTTAATTGCCTTTTGTTATTTTTCATGCTTAATTTTTGTCTAGAGCACGAAGTCTCAAAAGGTACAGTATTTTTTAAACCAATCAAAAATACATGTTTCTTAGCATCACCTACATCATATTTATATGACATGGAATATAACTTTAACACCAATATGGAGGACAGAGGACTGTGCATGCAGTGCTTAAGAATTATAACGCTACCCATCATAGTTTTTTAGTTATTCCCCTTTGTTATTTTTGTCTAGAGCATAACCCACACTTTTTGAGTATTTGAGACATCAACTTGAAAATTAAAAAATAGATAAATCTCTTCCAGGAGGGAGGAGTGCATTGCACAAAAGTGATAACTCTACCTTTCAACGTTTTTTAGTTCTTGCCTTTTGTTATTTTTCACGTTTAATTTTTGTCCAAAGAATGTCCTTGAAACTTCATAGGTGGGTAGATTTTATTATGGCGGAGTTCAGTGCACAAGAAAGATAACTATCTCTTTCATATTTTTAATTACTCGCCCTTTGTTATTTTTATGCCCCCTTCAAAGAAGGGCGGGAATATCGCTTTGCTCCTGTCTGTCTGTCAGTTGTGTGTTTTTGTAATGCTTCAGCTACTGCTGTTGTTGATGATAATGTTGATGATTTGATGGTGATGGACCTTGACTGGTAAAGTCTTTATTGAGCTATAAGTGATGATGATAGGTGATGGAAGGGTTGCTGCATATGATGATTTTAATGGCTGCTGCTGCTACTGCTACTGCTGCTGCTGCTGATGATGATGATGTGATGATGATGTGATGAAAGGTAAATTTATTTTTTTCAGTTTTTCATGACATTTATACTGCATTTATAATATGGGCAATAGACTTGCAAATAGTGAGTGAAATGCTGAACTTCAAGAATTTAATTGAAATCTTAATAATTTTAATACTTATAAAAAGTTCATAATTAATACTTTTTACCTCAACTCTACTAAGTATATGGAGAGTTGGCTGACTTGCCCCGGCATCCGCGTCAGTGTCCAGATTTCTGATTTAAGTTTTTGTGCAGTGAAATATTTTTTATTATCACTTTATTTCTCAAATAGTATTTGAGTTATCAAACTTCAAAGGTAGATAAATCTCTTTCAGGAGGAGTGCATTGCACATGAGTGATAACTCTACCTTTCATGATTTATGATTAAGGGGAGCGGTGACCTAGTGGTTAAGGTGTCTGCCTCCCAACCCAGAGATCATTGGTTCGAGCCCTACTTGGGTCACGACCATGTTTCTTCATATGACACCAGTACTGGTTGGTTCCAGGGAGCGGACTTGAAAGTGATAAATATAAAATGCAAGAACTTGTTTTGCAATCAAGCTTAAATCATGATTTTTTAGTTCTTGTCTTTTGTTATTTTTCATGTTTAATTTTTGTCTAAAGCATGTCGTTGAAACTTTATAGGTGGATAGATCTTATTAAGGAGGAGTTCAGTGCACAAGAAAGATAACTATCCCTTTCATATTTTCAATTACTTGACTTTGTTAAAACATTTTTATGCCCCCTTCAAAGAATGGTGGGAATATTGCTTTGCTCCTGTCTGTCCGTCTGTTGTATGTTCTGGTAATGTTGTTGATGCTTCTGCTGCTGTTATTGATGATGATGTGGATGATGATGATTTTGATGGTGAGGGACCTTGACTGTGGTAAAGCCTTTAAATGAGCTATTAGTGATGATGAAAGGTGATGAATAACATGATTTTAATGAATAAGCTGCTGCTGCTGTATCTGCAGATGATGAAAGGTAAACTTTTTTTTTTATGAAACTTTTCCTGCATTATTATATGCAAATAGTGAGTGAAATGCTGAACTTGAAAAATTTAATTGAAATCATAATTATTTAATACAAGTTTACAAAAGTTCAATATTTATACTTTTACCTTAATTCTACTTAGTATATGGAGAGCTTGAAGACTCACCCTGGCATCTCAGTCAGTGTCCAGATTTCTGATTAAAGTTTTTGTGCAGTGAAATATTTTTTACTGTAACTTCAAACTTACATGATTCGTAGCATCGCTGCATCATAATTATGTGACATGGAATATAACTTTAGCACCCATATTGTAGGATAGATTTCATTGAGGAGTGCAGTGCTTAAGAATGATAACTCTACCCTTCAAAGTTTTTTAGTTATTCCCCTTTGTTATTAACCTTTGTTTCTTTTCTTGCATAATAATTGTCCAGACTATAATCATAAAACTTTAGAGATATTGCATTTAATTCAAACTTCATTGGAAGATAGATCATAGTAAGAAGGAATGCATTTGACAAGAATGACAACTCTCCACTTCATAATTTTTGAGTTATTTCCCTTTGTTATTTTTATAATGTTTCATTAATTTCTTCAATCACATTTACAGTGGAAGGAATCATAACTACTTGGCAGAAATGTTAATAATGAGACAATGTGTAGAGTGCAGGGTTTTTGTGTCTGGTCTTTTGAACAGGT